TTTTTTTTTAAATTTAGTTTTCCTTAAAATGGTGAAAATGAAGAGAATTTATTACCATCAAGATAGACAGAACCGTCGGAATTGAATCCGATGGACCCCGGATAGCTGTTGGGGAGCTTCAAAGGAAGAGGAGCGCCTACGGTTAGTCCTACTAAGATCATCACTGCGTCGCCTTCAAGCTTCATTTCCTCTAATTCTGAATTCGCCTTTGCATTAGAATTTTCCTGTATGAGTTTGACCTTCTTGCCTTTCTGGTCGTCATTGTGGCCCCGACAAAACAAAATTGTGATCTCCAAATACGCCTGTTGAGGGAAAGCAGAGTTCCCCAACGGCGGCCCTGGTAACAGTGTTCAATTTTTTAAAGGACGAAGAGGGGAAGAAGACGATAGAAGCTAGCAGAAATAAAGCCATGTTTTCATTGATGATTCAGAGCTTGACGAAGAAGCCGTGCTCGATGAATTGCAAATCTTAAAGAAATAATGTTCAATTTTTGAAAGATGAAGAGGGGAAGACATAGAAGCTGGAAAAAATAAAACTTGTCAAAAATAAAACCCTAGATCCCCAAACCCCCAATTTTATTTTCCTATAATTTAAGGGCATAAAAAAAATTTTGGGTATTTGTTCAGGTGGCTTGTCCATCTCAGCATCCATCTCAGCATAAAAAATGCCACATCAGACGCAAAAAAGAGGTGGATTAACGGACCGTTGAAAGCTAACGGAAAGATGGTGCCAACGTTAACAGAGGGGGTGATTTGCCACTGAAAATGAGTTGAGGGGGTAGCATGCGCGTAAAATAGGTTGAGGGGGTGATTTGCCACCAATAGATGAGTTAAGGGGGTGATCTGCACCTTTTGCCTATAAGTATCACATCTCAACCTCCAAGGAACTATTAAATACACCTACTACATTAATTGAGGTAAATTACAATACTAGCAGCACTTCTAACAAAATAATATAAAAAATTATCTTTATGGTATGCGGACAAAGAAGTAGACTAATTTTAGTGAGTTGTAATGATCTTATTGGACAGGGATACTAACCGACGTGGTATCTCTGTTCTATGGTAGACTTTCTCAATCGCCATTGAAAATTACAGTATATTCCTTGTGCACCGTATATTCCTTGTGCACCGCCTATTCTGTATTTATCTTTTCGTTTCTTGTGGTTTAGCTTCCGCTTGCCTTGTCTATGATATCCAGAACAGTTACGGAGAATCAAGGTATGTTTTCTTTCTTTTTGCAAATTTTAAAATATTTGGTGCTTTAGTATTAGTACATAGATCCTGTTTAATAAGGGTGCGACTTGATCCCAATCCACAAGTTTGGATTGGTTTTAGATCCAAACCGAAGTTGTTGGTTTCAAGAAAATTTAGTTCTAAACTAGAATCATCTTCTGGTGGATTCAATTTAATCCAAATCCATGGATTTTGGATTGGATTTAGCTTAGTCAAACCAATCTACCAATTGTTCTTCATTCGGTCTCTTCACTAGATTTCCATGGCGTTTCTGATTTGTTTATTTATTATTACTATTATTTTTTTGTTTTTACTTTCAATTAGAGTTGTTATGAGCTAACACTTAAAATTAATATTTTTTTATTAATAAAATTTTTTATTTTTTATTTTTTTAAGAGGGTGTTTTGGTTAAAGACTGTCTCTTATACTCATCTAATTGTTTTAAAGATTTGGGTTGAGGCCGAAGAATGTGTTGGGTTGAGTTTGATTTGAGGTAATAACACTTTAGTATTAGATTAAAATTAAAAAT